TTACAAAGAACCTAACTTGTTTATATTAAAATACAAGGGAACCTCCTTATAACATTACTATTATGGAAACAGAATGACAACCCTGTTATAAACTAATTAGGCTTGTAGGATTTGGAGTTGCATTTTCTGGAACTTGATCTGATCTTAGGTCTTTCTGAATCCATTAGTAGCAAAAAGTTAAAAACAAAATTTTGCTATAGTTTCATTTATTTTACTGCTTCAGCTTACCAAGTACTGATATTTCAGCTTCTCTTGTAATTCTCCATAATATTCAATAAATATTATAGTCTCACACTTAATATTTTTTCGAGGCTAAGTCAAGTAATAAGTTTATTGCTCCAACTTTAGAAATACTAATAAATACAATGCTTCAGATACCAGTTCATCAAGGTTGTTGTTGTTGTTCAGTTGTTTTAGACTCTTTATGACCCCATTTGGGGTTTTCTTGGAAGAGACAGTGAAGTGGTTTGCCATTTCCTTCTTCAGCTCAATTTACAGATGAGGAAACTGAGGCAAACAGGGATAAGTGACTTTCCCAGGGCCACACAGTTAGCATGTGCCTGAGGCCAAATTTGAACTCGGTCTTCCTGACTCCAGGTCCAGTACTCTTTCCACTATGCCACCTAACTGCCCTCATCAAGGTTACAAAAAAAAATAATCAGAATACAAATCTTTAACACATGTAATTATCATGCTAAGTATAATGATAATAAAAATTGGATGTGTAAAATACATGAGAAAGTTATTGTTCTATTCGAATGTAATAATCATCTTCTAGTGGTCTCTATGGTATGATCTGTTCCTAGGTTTACTTTGATCTATTCTTCCAATTTTAAATGAAATGGATTTTTAAACTATCTTGTCCCATTGCTATTTTTTAAATTCCTCTTTTTTTGAATTCTCAAAGTAAAATTAAGCAATTTAGAACTTAATGACCCTTAATTTAACTTCTGTCTGCCTCAGTTTCCTCACCTGTAAAATGAAGGTAACAATAGCACCTAATTTCTAGGGTTCCTGTCAGGAAAAATGAGATAATATTTGGAAATCACTTTATACTCATTAAAACATTATATAAATGATAGTTATTCTTTCATAGACCTGGAAAATGAAAGAGATTCACTAGAGGAGCAAAAGTGAAAAGTTGTACTATTGCAGAGAGCTGCCTTGAAAAGGTACACCTATCATAATTGCCTCCATGTCCTCCTCTCTGTCAATATATTGTTGTGACTAGAAAGAAGAATTATGGCATGGGGTAAGGATAATCTCACTTTGTTGGAAGATGATTAAATTGGTTTCTTTAAAACACTGTCTACATAGTCAACTGTCAGCTTCCCAGGATGTTAAGTAACCAAATATCTTTAGATTTTTTAAAAGGAACGTTACTTAGCTTTGCCAAGATGAAAAATCATCCAGTGACTGCTGACTATTTTTTTTTTTGCACAGCTCTAGCCATCAATACTTTAGGATATAATCATTAAACATAACAAAAGCAATTCCTTCCAATAGGATGGATTCCAACAAAAGAATCCTATTTATACTCATAATAGGCAGAACTCAATCTTTTTTCTCATGTTATGTATGGTCTTTCAATAGCTAGGCACCTACTTCTTTTACTGAACAAGAGCCAGCCTCAATTTTTTGTATTTTTAAAAATTCCCATTCTCCAATGGATAAGTGCTCAAAAGATAAAACCAGGCAGTTCTCAAGGGAAATCCAAAAAACATATGAAAAAATGCTCCAAACAACTAATCACATTAGAAATGCAAATTGAAACAATCCATCAGATTGAAAGAAGATAGCAAAAAAGGAAGATGACAATTGATGGAGCGATTATGGAAGGCCCAGGAATGCATTATTGATGGAACTGTGAACTGGTCTCACCATTCTGGAAAGCAATTTGGAATTATAGCCAAAAAGTCACTAAACTGTACATACCTTTGACTCAGTGATAACACTACTAAGTAATTTCCCCAAAGAGACCAAAGAAAGAGGAAGAGGGCCCACATGTACAAAAATATACACAGCAGCAACACTTTTTGTGGTAGCAAAGAACTAGAAACTTAAGGGGTGCCCATCAATTAAATAATGATTTATGCTATGAATAATTTATGGTATGATATGATAGATATAAATAGAATACAATTATGGTATGATATGGTAGATATGATGATAGAATACAATTGAACAATGACAAAAGGATGAATTCAGAAAAACCTAGAAAGGCTTATTGGAGCTGATGAAGAATGAAGTGAGCAAAACTAGGAGAAAAAGTTACACAGTAACCATACTGTAGAGAAAATCACCTTTGAAGGACTTAAGAACTCTGACCAAAGCAATGACCAACCGTGAATCCAGAGGACCAATGTATAATAAATCATGATACCTGTCCCTTAAAAGAGCTGATGGACCCAATGTACAGAATGAGATATACATTTTAAGCATAGTAAATATATATCATTGCTTTGGTTAACAATGTCTATTTGTTACAAGGATTGTGTTTTTCTTTTCTTTTTTAATTTGGGTGAGGGAGGAGATTTTGGGGGAAAGAAGAAGCTAAATATAGTGTCACCAAAATGAAAAACAGAAGAAAAGAGGGTCATTGAAGCCTTTTTAAATGTAGAGAACATAAGAAAGCCCAGAAGGAAACACAGATAAGCAGGACAGCTTTGAAAGTAATATTATATACTTTTTTTTAAAGAAAGCTACATGAAATAGAAATTTGCTCTTTCACAAGTATAATCCCTTTTTTATATTTTTTGTATATAGAAATGCTAATGTAACAAAAACAAAAAAGTATAATATTATTATAGCAAATTCTGTGGTAAATTAAAAAGTGAAAAATCTAGTTACATGGTCAGGGGGCCTAATATGCTGCTAGAAACAACTCTTACCACTGTTGGTGGAGCTACTTAATGGGTGTTATAGGTGGCACCACAAGGACCCTCCTATGTGGCTTGCAGGTTTCATCATTAAAATCTCTGAGTTAGACTGAATAGGCTATAGTTAGATAGGCATGGCATTACTTCCATAAGGCCATTGTGTATGTGTGTCTGTATGTCTGTATATATGGATGTGTGTATATGTATGTATGTATGTATGGGTTACCTAAGAGGTAAAAAAAATTTAGTTCCTTAATGACCCATGCGTGGACATAGATTTGCTTTTTCAGATTAGCTAGTTGCCTCCTTGGAAATTTAAGACCCAAGCTCCATGAGGATAGAAAACCCATGGAGGGTGGGCAAATTATGACAGGAATTGGGAAGCTTAAGGGAATAGAACACTGCCACAAATCCCTCAGGACTGACAGGAATGGATTTTTTGTTCCTCTTCCTCTTCCTCCTCCTCCTCCTCCTTCTTTCAGTACGGATGATCCCTCTCTCCACTTCAGGTGTCATATCCTTACATGTGGGTGCTCTGTCCATTGGAATATAATTTTTGGTCGCTTATATTTTGTAATATATTTTGGGGTTTGGGGGCTAGTTTTTTTTATTTTTGTTTTAATTAATTTATTATTTATTATTATTTGTTTTTATTATTCTTTTCTTTAAAAGCTGGGACAATTTACTTTTTGTCCTGTGTAGTTGTGATTTTTGAATTTCTTGAAATATAGCTCTGAAAAACACCCAGGCTTTAAAATAGCCCATTATGCTTCAAATGGAGCTAGTTGACTATGCCTTTCAACCCAAATCGCTCTGGCTTTTATTGACTGGCTGGTAATAGCTCCCAACCCAAGCCTCTGTGGCTCATTGTTTAGGTTTTGATGGTTTAGAATGAGTATAAATAGCAATTTTTTTCTGTTCTGGCCAGAAACTTTGAGTGTCTCCCCCTCCCAATTGATATTCTTGTGATGATAAATTAGGCCATCTTTTGTCCAATTCTTACCTAGGCCTTAGTCACCAAATGAGCATTGTCTCAGACAAACTGAGCCCTGGGAAAGACCTTAATTTAGAAAGGCCAAAGTCACCCACTGCCTTCTGGGCCATCACCAGTCATCTTGACTTTTGCCTTGCCACTGGACTTCAGTGACTCTGGAGGAAAGAGTGAGACTGATGACTTCTGCACAACTATGCCTCATTTCTTGTTGCTGTTTCTCCTTTGTTCTCAAAAAGGACCAATGACATCAAGAATGTGATGTCTTGATTTGCAAGTGAATTAGATTTAAGTGAGGCAGGGCTGTCCAAAGTCATTAGCCTCACTCTCTCCTCCAGAGCCATCTGGGTCCAGTGTCAAGATATAGATCAGGATGACTGGAGATGGCCTTGGATGCAATGGGAAACCTTGGCCTTTTTAAGCTAAAGTCTTTCCCAGGTCTCAGTTTTTCTGAGGCAACACCCATTCAATGGTTAAGGATAGGTTAAAAAAATTTCACAAGCAAGGCAATGTGATGTCTTTGGTCCTCTTCAGGAAGGAAGGATGAACAATAGCAACAAAATAACTGAAGATAGAAGGCTAGGAGGAGACACAGTAGCTAACTTCAATGATCTGAAGATCTGTCAAATGGAAGATTTATTCCATTCTGCTTGGCTCCAGATGGTAGAAATAGAAGCAACGGATTGCAAAACATAGATTTTTGGCTCAATGTAAAGAGAAACTTCTGAATAATCAGAGTTAACCAAAAGAGGAATGATCTGTCTCAGAGGGCAAGGAGTTCATGGAGGTCTTCAAGTAGAGACCAAATGACCAAATGACCTGTTGGTGAAAGGGATTCTTGAATTAGGTTGGCCTTCTCATGTCCCTTCTAACTGAAATTCTGTGGGAAAAAAGATCAGTGTGTTAAGAAGATATGTCTAGGGGCAGCTAGGTGGTGCCATGGATAGAGCACCAGCCCTGGAGTCAGGAGGAACTGAGTTCAAATCTGGCCTCAGACCAAAACACTTGACACTTACTACCTGTGTGACCCTGAATAAGTCACTTAACCCCAATTGCCTAAAATTAAAAACTTTAAAAAAAAGAAGATATGTCTATATCTAACAATTATTTGTGCTTATTTTTTTTCCCAGTGAATGTTGTATCAATGCTACAGGAATTTTGGGAAAGCAAACAGCAGCAGAAAGCTGTGTTCCCAAGTGAAGGTTTGGTGGTATATGAGTCATTGCCATCTCCTGGGCCTCCATTTGTAAGTTATGTCACCCTCCCTGGAGGAAGCTGTTTTGGTAACTTCCAGGTAAGAAGTGCTAATCTATTTGTCAACAAGAGACATCTCCATCATGAATGGAGTAGGACCCTCTGTAACACTGAGATCAGAAGACAAGGTTATTACCAATATTACAGTCTTTCTATGTAATAAAATGAAAATTATGTGCTATACTTTTTATGCTGAGGGTATGAGAAGCACTGTGGTGGGTAGTAGATAGAATATAAACTTATTCAAGTCTTACCTCCAACATTCGCTAGCTCTGTGACCACTAGCATGTGTCAACCTCCCTGAGCCTTGATTTTCTCATCTGTAAGATGGGAATAAGTATACCTACCTCATGGAGTTGTTGTGAGGTTAAAATGAGATTATATAAACTACTTAGTAAACCTTAAAGCATTGCATAGTATCAGAGATCTGGGGTGGGAAGGGACCTAAGAAACCATCAAGTCAATCTCTCTCATTTAATAATGGGGAAACTGAGGCCCAGGGAAGTTGTGACTTGCCTACAGGTAGAAAACATCAGAGGCAGGATTTGAACCCGTTTCCTCTGACTCCAGGCCAATGCTCTTTCTACTGTATTGTCTTGCCTCATATAACTATTTGCTCTTATTTAACCTACATTATAATCCAATCTGTATGGCAGCTAAGTGGATAGAGCACTGGGCCTGGAGTCAGGAAGAACTGAGTTTAAATCTGGCCTCAGACACTTACTAGCTGTGTGACCCTGCTTGCCTCAGTTTCCTCATGTGTAAAATGAACCAGGGAAAGAAATGGCAAACCACTCCAGTATCTTTGCCAAGAAAACTCCAAATTGGGTCATGAAAAGTTAGACACAACTGAAATGACTCAATAATAAACCTCGATGGGCCTAAAAATATTGAGTCTGGATAGGGAAAGAGGAAAAGAGGTGAGCCACAGCATGACTTTAATCATAGGCTACCTTACTCTGCTCCCCCAGCACCATTCTCTGAGAATGCAAACCTATGGTATGGTTTCCCCTAGGTTACGAAGTTATAAAGAAAAATCTATTGCCCCCTCAAAAAAAACAATTGCAGCCCATGACCAAGTAGAAGTGCTTTAAAAGCCCATTTGGGTCCATCTATAAATGAAGACAGATAATCAAGAGTTTAGTGTCTAAATATTTCATAGAGTGGTTATTTCTCTCCACAAATGGGGAGGAAAAGGTAAAATTCAAATATGTGAACTTTGTTACCCAGCTGTTAGCAGCTGTGATTGAAGAGGCTGAAAACATTGCCTACAGAATAGCTTATGACTCTCTATGGATTTTATTTATCCATACTTACCTTGTCTCCCACGATCATTTATAAGCAAAAATTGGCTGCAAAAAATATACATATTAAGTAATATGTAGGCATACATGTATTATGTGTGTAAATATCTGTTCATATAAAATGAATACACACATTGTTACACTATAATTTGTCATGAATATCGAATGCATTTGACAGCTCAACACCACGTTTTTTGAGTGTATTTAAGGGAATATTCCACCTATTTTTATTTTGCTAGCTTGAGAATCACCAATCATCTCCCAAATCCCATAAATATCTCTGCAAAAATGATAGGGTCTCCCTTGGGAAGTAGTTGAATGTCTTTGTCATGGTCTTAAATGGCTTTTTTGAAGTACAAGAGCTAAACTCTTCTGAGGGGAGGTCTGTTTGTGAGTCCCAAGATTATTTCAGAGTCTTGTTTTCCATATGTTTAAATCATCCCATCATAAAGTTCTCAGGAGGACCATTAACATCCTTACTTAAAATGTCCAGAATTTTGTGAATCTAAGATGCTTCAAGCATTGACTTTTACCTGCCCAAATGAGTCATTTTACCCACTTGGCAGCAGAAATATGAGGTAGAAAAGGAAAACAGAGAAATCATCTTCTAAAGCTATGTTCTCATTCTTTTCTTCATGTACCAGAAACCATCTTACATGCCATTATCACCATATAACATTTCATCATATTTTTGCCAGCAGTTGGACTCTCACAATCTACATTCTCATTCCTGCAATGCTTGTCACCTAATCAAATGTCACCCCTATGCACTGCAAAGCATTTTACAATGGCTTCTTAATTTTTATACTGAGACATGCAGGAACCAGTATGTATGGTAGCTGTCGTCTTACTTGGCCTCAGATATCCCCTCCTGTAGTTCAAGTAAGCCAAAGTGATTCTACTGGAGGGATGACTATTAGAATTGATATTGGGATTAATCCCTCTCTTTCTCAAGCAGTTGCTTAAAAGCTGTGAGAAATTCTGTCCATTCACTCTTTAGGGAAAGGGTATGAGGGCTGAGCAGATGGGCTTTAGTCCTGCAACTAATCTGAGTAAAGCAGTGAAAAGACTAGAATGAACCAAAACACTCTGGTTCTTATACAAGGACGTTTCACACCCAAATGTAAATTGTAGATGTATGTGAAGGTTAATTAACTACCCCTCCACCCCTCCACCCCCCCCCCCAAAACTAGAAAGACAAAGACACACCAAGCCTTCTATTTAGACATTTCATTGAATCATATGCTCCCAGAGCTCATTATAGCAAGAGGGAAAAGTGAATAATTCTCTTTTTTAAAAATTTCCCTATTGATTCAGAAGAATTTTTAAAAAAACAACTTTACAGATCTGAGATACAAACTTGTATTTTTTTTTAAAATCCATTCCCTGATATTAAAGATCTCAACCAGAAATTCCTGCATTTGCTTCATGCTATTTTTGTCTGGGCAGCTAATTCCTCCTGCCTGCTCTCTTACCCCCACTCTCATCCTGACCACATACCATGTCCATGAAAACTGTACAGTAATTTCCATTTACTACAAAAAGACCAACATAAGGGCCATCAGATCAGCTTCTGGCTCCCCTCTTGCTGAACTCAGAAGTAAAGCCATCCTGCAGATGTTTTTGTTTTCAGTACCAAAGGGAATGTCATTAAGTATTTTATCTTCATTTTTTGAAACTTTTATATTTTGATTAAAAGTTCTGCGATTCAACCTTTATTTTCAGAGCAGTGACCTGGTCTTCTGCAAGTAAGTCTGCTGGGATGATTTAGATGAATGAATTTTACTCTTGTTTAGGGAAAACAGCAAAAACTCCCTTGAGTAATTATTAGTAGGTACAATGTATATAAGCAAAGTATAATATAAATTTGAATTAATAAGTTCATCCTGTGACTATAACTCAGAATCATAGCGATAGCTGAATTTATGTGAAAAGCATGGGGTGCTTATTCACTAAGGTATTATAGTTACTGGCAAAAGTTAGAGCCTCCTTTGCTTTCTAGGAAACAAATAGATGACAAATAGCTTTGGTGCTGACAAGTTAGGCAGAGTTCACATGATGTGCCAATTTTCAGACTGTTAGAACTGGAAGGGACTTTTAAGATCCTCTGTTCCAACCACTTCATTTTACAAATGAAGAAACTGAGGCCCAGTGTGGGAAGGGTCTCATTCCCTGGAACTTACAGAATTAGTAATTCAATGTAAAACAGGGGTCACCAGATGCTGTTCTCTTTCCATCACACCATGCCGTTAAATACTCCAGTGGATCTGTAATCTCCTGGATGTGTATATTTCTTCTGACAAGACTGATCACAAACTTTCCATGCCTCACTACCCTTATTTCCCTGGCAATGTCCTTACACAAGTTTGTCACCTGGAGTCCAAACCCGAGTGTCTTCTTCAAGTTCTCTTGAGCTCTCAAGGACGTCAATGAAGAATTCGGGCTGTCCATTAGTTATCTCTCATTCTTGCCATGTGACCTACTCATCTTTATTTTCATTCATAATATCTGTGTACTGGGAAACATCTGGATAACTGACTGAATGTTTCCATTTTAATCCAGATATTTAGTAGCATTTCTCTTCTAGAATTTCATCAAAGATTGGGTAGGGATAGGGACTGGGAATTGGGCCTGTGATTTCCTTGATCTAAGAAATTCCTTGTACCAATGAAGGTCAACATCTCTATACCTTATTAGAGAGTTGCCTAGAGCACAGAGAAGTTAAATGACTTTCTCAAGGTGACACAGCCAGTATGTATCAAAGATGGGACTCTATCCACTGTGCCACAAAAACATTTATAAATATGTGGATCAGAACTTAAGATTTAAGCCAGTTTTCTGGATGTTTCCAAGTATCCAGATGTTTGGAAGAATATTTTAGCTTTAATCCCAATGTTTTGTGTTCAGTAATTATAGTCTAAGAAAGCAGTTCTCAAAGTATGGTCCAGGGATGCCTAAGGATCCAGAGACCCTTCAGGGTTTTCTCAGGGTCAAAATTATTTTCATAATGGTATCAAAATAATATCAAAAAATATCACCCACATAAAAAAGCTCCTTGGGGGGGCCTCAATACTTTTTAAAGGTATAAAGGGGTCCTGAGTCCAAAAAGTTTAAGAACCCACTGATCTAAGAAATCGATGGACAGAAAAAGAACTAGTTTTCTCTTTTAACAGATGAGATAACTGAGGCTCAGAGAAGGGGATTGCCCTAATAAGCTCCATACAAAGCCAAGATTCTAACAGGTGATTACTTTCCTTAGCACTCTTTGATTCCTAGCCCCAATACAGTTTTTCAAACCATCAATTTTTACCACAGATCCTGAGAAGGAAAGAGAAAAAGGCTTAACCAAAAGACATGTCTCCTAATAGACAAAAACTTGGTTTTAAGGAACAAGTTACCTAAGGCAATGATGACGCTATAGATGGAAAACATATGCTTATATACATTGGATGATTATTCTCAGTGACCAGTGAATTAAGGATCTACTTAAATCACAATAAACTGAGTTTATATGTTTAAGTTCTTCCCAGGAGAGGCATGGCTAAGGGAAAATTTGATTATACAAAAGATGATTGGTAGACTTGACTAAATAGCATTCTGATGCTTTATTTTTCAATGAATTATTGAATAATGCCTGGTTCAAACATTCCATATCCCAAGAAGGGACTCCAGTCATTTTGCTGCACATTTTGAGGAGTGTAGCCCAGTCCTCATATTGTTTTAATGCCAAAATTTC